CAACTAACTATTTAGACGACGAAATTGCCTAACTATTTATGCCTATAACATATTTGTAATGTAACTGGTTAATAATTGTAACGGGTTGAAAAAGTACTGTTTTTGCGCCAAACGGCGTAAACGCTCTTAAGGCCTTTCAAAACTAATTTATTTTTCTGGGCTATTCACTCTAATGACTAATACATACATAGATAAATAGTAAATATCTGTTAATGTCGAAATATTGCCAAATAAAATAGGCGATTTTTTTTTCACTGATGGTCTGATGACATGATGCAACTATGTAGTTAAATTTTCGCTATTCAATTACACACTCACGATTGCAGCCGAAATTGAATTGATCTGCCCCCTACACAAGTGGCAAAATCTGACATTCTATTCGGATGGATTCGAATTTTCAAAAGTGTGACTAGTCTATTCTACTAATAGACCCACTGATCATGTTCGAAGCACCTGTGCGGCACTATACTCGTGACGACATGCAACGAGACAATGGGCCAACTATCCGGCCGCCGGATATCCGGCTATCCGGCCTAGCAGCTGGCCGGATATCCGGTATCCGGTATCCGGCCAAACAACTATCCGTTTCATCTCTAGTTAATACATACAAAAATGCGTTAATTGTGCCCATATTAGGGCAAACCTATACGTTTAGCATCAGCTACAGCGAATCATGTTTAGTTGTCACGAATTCGCCGAAAGCAGGTGCTAAAACTAGCAGCACATTTGGTGTGGCCCTAACAGAATGTTACTTTTTCGTTATTTTACAGTATGTGTTCTCTCTACAAAGTAAAGACTGAGTACATAACAAGGACCAAGTAACATTCTGTATTCCTAGGTCTTAATCGCCAGAACATGTTTCACTTATTGAGTTTAAGTCTGTAATATTAGTCACCCATTCCTAGTTTTTTTTGTAAACCGACATGATTGCAACATCAAACCCCGCTATGCGACAGCCATAACTTCGACTCGCATCCTCAAAAAAATATTGATAAAACTAAATAATGTTGTAAAATTTTAAAAATTAATTTAGATTTAATATAAAAATTATTAAAAATTACGAAACACCTGAGAAGATTACTCGTATTGTTAGCTTTCTAAAAAACTATAAGCCGATATAAAAATTGACAACTACTCCTTGAAGTTGGTCTTAANGCGTATCTTAGGCAGTGGCAGGCGTCATCAGACTGCGGAGGTCAACCTGTTACCTGACAATGGTTCCAGGGATGCGTCTGCCATTCACCTCCAAGCCGGTGCTTGTCCCTTCAACGCCGTGCTTTATTCAGCGTTTTAACACTCTTGACTGTCTAACGCTGACCAAATAAACCGAAATGCTGAAATTACCAGATAAGGCACCGCTCAGCATGAGCCTGCTCCTCACAATATTCCTTCGCAAGAAGGACAGACCAAACAACCTATTCTATTAAACGTTCTAATCAGTAGATACAAGTATGTAAGTATTGATCTGATCTGAAGTAGTTGAATGCTAAATTCTATATCTGGATGCAGATACCGATCACAGAGACACCGCCGGCCTCTCCGCATGTCTTGTCAAGGTACCCTAAAATTATCAATCTCTCGTTCTCTACTGCATACCGAAAAACATTAATACAATCACAAACTACTTACTAAACCTCGTCACCTTTGACAAACCAGACGAGACAGCAACTACTAGAACGGAAGGTTAGTGTGTAACATTTATCTTCGGGAACACTTTAAACCTTGTCAATTACGTGAACTCAGTTTCAACAAGTCGTCATCTCTAAGGATTTAGTCGGTAAATACGAAATCTATACGACTCAACAAGTGCCTATAATGGTAAGCTTGATCTCCAGTGAGGGCTCGTCACATTACAACTCGACCCCACACAACCGATTCAATACACAAGACTCCAGCTCAGCATCTCTTAACAACAATCTGGATGTCTGCAAAATATCAGAAATCATAATCAGCGATGGGGGATTTCTCATTCTTTCATTCATTTCATGTGCGTTCACTAATTTTGCTATCGGACAATCAAAGCATAGCCTATACTCGAAACTAAGGGAGGAAGGGGCACATTCAGAGCCTCTATTGGAACTGTCTCTCTAACTTTTCAACTTGAAAAACATCACCCCCTTTCGGTTCAGTCGGGTAAAAATAGCTCTGGCAGCGCAAAATATTATCTCCCAGGTCGATTCAATCAAATTTATCTGACGATCTAGGTCGATTTACGGGGAAAACAACCTACTTAGTGGCATCTCCTGGGTTCAAATCCAAAGGTAAATATTCCAAAAGTTCGGGAAACTGGATATCCAGAGACCCCACAGAGATTCACCAGCAGCCTTTGCAACGACTTCAACCAGGGTGGCTATGGTGGTAAACTAGGCTAAATCTTTGCTGTCCCGTTTCTCACTACAGCAAAAGGTACCTGCTTAGCACCTCGAAGTGACCTTTCTGGCTTTTCTTAGCTCTTTTCTTAGGGTTCGAGACCGACCCTCAAAATACAGAATCTCCACCATGTTCTTACCACATGGTGACCTCCACGTCAGGATCAGGTAACATGTAACTTTTTAGTATGTTGAGTTGGGGGTAATAAGGTATCGTTCCTAAAACATACCTGGCAAAAATCCACTTTAAAAACTTATAAAATAACCTGGCCTTGGTGGTTAAACTAATGGCCTAAGGAAAACAGTCGTAGCTATATACTTACCTCTTGAAGCTCGACAGCAAGATTTATTTGCTAGACTAAATCGTTTATCTACTCTTCTACTACCTTTATGCCCTGTGGGTCTAGACAAAATTTACTTTAAAATCGCAAACCAGTCGAAGGATGGTCGATTAGCCTTCTTTTTTCTATACGAAGTTATAACGTATCCAATTTTCGATTCGATCAAAAAGTGCTACTTGTCTAGGGGGGCTGGTATTACTAATCTAAAACTATATTAAAGATAACTTTAATTTTCTTACTAAGCATAAAAGCTTAACCAATTTCACTTCCTGATAAAGGCCTTAAACCCAACAGTAGGTATCTAAAATGTGACCTTTACGAGGCTTCTCGTAGACTAGCTTATGTATATTTTTCTCCTACCATCTACATCAGCTGCTGACATGACAAAACATAGTCTCACCTGAATAATTTCAAGATTAAGTTAATAAACCTTGACCTACGAGTAAGTTCGGCACCGTTACGGCATCATACAAACAACTGGGAAAAATGACAGCAAATCCCAAAAAACAACATAGGTATGCCCTTGCTACGGTTGCGTAAGTTACTGGAATCAGGCGAGCAGAGGCGAACAGCGGAATATAATAACACATTATTTATTTATTTTTTTTTTTTCAACACCAAGTAATGCTAGGAATCTACATGGATAAAAACAGTATAAAAGTGTACAGATAAAGGTTGTTGGATTTAAAACCTCTCCTGGCATTGTTGACTTCGTTCTGGCATCTTTAATTTGGGTGATATTTAGCCATAGATGAAATTATTTGATGAGATATTGGTGTAGGCAGAACAATAATAGCAATATTATAAGGCAGACACTTTTATTAACTGATCTACGACCGATACACCAAATAACATATTATTTAATTAATAACTTTCAATCAACAGATCTAAAGCATGCATGTTGGATACTCTTCAATCACATCGTACGCCTGTATTATAAACTTATGTTGATGACTCGCATGAATCTTACTGCCATGCGGGCAAATTATATCAATACACACTCAATCTGCATTTTAATGAGGAAAGAATTTCTGAATTCAGTTCAGTAGCTTTCCAGTTTATTCATTTCAAACATACAAAAGTACAAGCCCTCCTACTTTGTGATATTAGTGCAGCTCTCACTGGGCATTTAGAACAAAACATGTTAATACCCTGAAATTAATCATGTTCTAATCTAGTTCTGTTACAGAAACTCGAAAACTTTCATCACATAGCGCCATTGGTAAGTAGTCACCAGGAGCTAATAAACAAGTCTCTCACCAGATGCTGTGCATCGTCACATGCCGAATAATAGTACAAGTTTTACAAAACAATAAAACTTGTATTATTGAGCAGAGACGATGCACAGCATCCCAAGAAGGCCTCCTGGTGAGCTCTCTATGAAGAACTCCGAGCAAGCTCGCCCCCAGGTGACTAGAATGGCGGCAAACGGAAGTAAGTCAAATCAATTCCTATTAAATAATTGCGGAAATGACGTCATTTAAGGTATAAAATGGTAAAAAACTACACCGGAAGTAGACGCATCTCCTCACCAGATGCTGTGCATCGTCTCTGCTCAATAATACAAGTTTTATTGTTTTGTAAAACTTGTACTATTTTCTCTGTTAGGTAGAGAAAATTTTACCGCGATACCGAATTGATCCTCAGCTGCAGGGCTACTACGAAACGCTGTTTACGTAGTTTCGGGTCTATCTATCACTTACAAATACAAATACACAAACATTATTTAGGTACAAATTACTAATATTCTTTAAAAAATATTTCTAAAACTACAGAAAGGGCATGACTGTATGTAAGGCACTATCTTACGTTAACTTTAACAAACGTCAGAAATCTGTCAAACTCCAAAAAACACACCGGTTATCGTTATAGTTAACGGTCACAAATCAAATTAGAGATTTGCTAGACGCATTTTCCAATATTGTTATTTTCTTGTATAAAAATTCACACACACACTTTTCAATAGGGTAAGTCCTTTACGCGGTATAACCGGAAAACCTAAAAAGCGCCCCTTTCGGGGGCCCCCACCACTTAAGCACAACTCCGTCGAAGTCGAAAACCTAGGAGAGTGTTAATGGGCAACCAATGAAGCCATTAAAGCAATAAAATATTTTGTAGGAATTATTTCCGATTTAAAATCTAATTCTACTGGCCTATGCCGCGTTGGCTAAATGCGCAAACCGCATGAATCCTCAAAACAAAAAAAAATGTCAATTCAGAATTGTCATGTCAATGACGGTTGTTGCCCGGTCAACCGGCTGCCATGGCAACGCATAACAACAAAGCATTTGCGCGTGTACCCAGCTGTAATTTTCTGTGACCTACAATAGGCGATAAGTGTTTTTCTAATTATGGATTTTTCCGACGACAGTGTGACGGGCACTTCGGGCAGGGAGAGTGCGGTCAGGCGGCCCGACGCACCGCGCCCTGTATCTAGGAGAGGGTTCCGGGAGTACACCAACTCAGGGTCTGCAGTGTCCAGGTGAACAACGTTGTTTAATGTAAATTATTTGCCATTAATGACACATTCAGTGTGCGAGTAACGTAGATAGTATAGGCACTTGCGGCTCATATCATGTTTAAGCTTACATACATAAACAAAAAAAAAGTTAACTACCTTACTTAATATTACCAATAAACTCTTGAGTCTTGCGAAGTACCTAATGGTTCTATGCCCCTTACTAGGGAATTAGACAATAGGACTGTTTATGTAATAGTTTTAATATTCAGTAGATAAAAAACTCTCTTTTTTCTTTCTGTATCATACTGACCACCTATGTAATCTTACAATATTTTACTAGCTTTTTCCCGCGACATTGCTCCCATTAAACTTTAGACGGGAAATGTTTGCTATTCTTTTTGTAGGTGTTTAAGTACGTGACTGTATTGAATCCTACTATCCTACTAATATTATAAATACGAAAGTTTGTTTGGATGTTTGTTACTCTTTCACGCAAAAACTACTGAACGGATTTTGATGAAACTGTATAGCACATAATAACTGATGACGTTAAGTGACAAACTAAATTTCACGCGGGTGAAGCGGCGGGTAAAAGTATGGTCATATCAGTATCTTTAAACGTAGAAAATATAGTATAACATTCTTTCTAAAATGATCGTTTTGACAGAAGCGGCAGCATGAGGCCGACGTCAGCCTACCGACCTGCGGGCAGCACCGCCTCTCGCCTGTCCACTGCTNGCCTGTCCACTGCCGGGTTTGGACCGGCGCCACCCACGGCCGGTAGACAGCAGACGGCTATGACTGGATTCTCTATGGTAAACTTTTTGAGTCACTTTCGTTCGTTTCAGCCAAAAGACGTCCACTGCTGGACAAAGGCCTCCCCAAGAATTTCCACAAAGACCGCTCCTGCGCCGCTCGCATCCAGGCGCCTCCCACGACCTTCACCAGATCGTCGGTCCACCTAGTGGGAGGCCTGCCCGCGCTACGTATTTCGGCTCGTGGTCGCCACTCAAGAACTTTCCTACTCCAGCGGCCATCAGCTCTACGAGCTATGTGCCCCGCCCACTGCCACTTGATTTTAACGATTCTGTGGGCTATGTCAGTCACTTTGGTTCTCCTACGGAGCTCCTCCTCTTTCCTTGAGTCGCCTTAGGCCGCTTGAACACGCTAAGAATAGTCGCCGGGCCTACGCAAGAATTCGTGTCGTTTCTTTATACGAACCGTGTAGGTACATTGCTCGGGCGCTGACCAAGAAATAATTATTGTTTTTTCGTAGCTAGGTCCGACGAAGTTCTTGACACGGCGAAATTTCTTAGAGTGTACGAGAAGACTTATGATCGTATTTAGGAACTTAAACTGCGTAAATAAAGTGTTTTTCATGCTACTTTAAATACGTTTAAGGATCGCCTTGCTGTTCTTTTAAACTTTAAAAAGGCAGGGATGTTCCCGGGTAAAAAAGCAATAGTTTGAATTAGCCGTGTCGGTTAACTTTTAAAACAAATACTCGACACGTAGGTATTTTTCACTTTTTCAAACTAATGATAACTGAAAAAGATAAAGTATGCCAAAGTTCAAATGAAGAGATCCATAACGTCAAAGCGTGCTTAAAAGTGGCCTATGTTCAGCAGTGGACGCCCTATGGCTGAAATGATGATGACAAGGTTCGACTGAAAAATGTGTTTTTTAGATTGATCGCCCCATAACCCAGCAAGGCATCTCGGGGCTGCGTACAGGCACTGCCCGCGGCTTCCGCACCAGGCAGCTCCAAGACAAGAGGTACTGGGAAGAGCTGATGCAGGTCAAGATCAGAGAGATGAAGGCAGAGATAGCCAGGCTGAACGAGCTGGCTGAGGCTGGCGAGAGGGAAAAGTCTGCTAAGAAACACTATGAGAAAAGGGTGAGGGAGCTTGCGCAGGAGTTGACTGGTAAGTGTGAGAGCTACGGGATTACTAAGAAAAACGTTGACGAAGTTTCGAGTATTGCCATCCCTCTCGCGCAGAGCGAGGTATCAGCATGAGCGACACTAACAGATAGGCCTGAAACTACGTAAACAACGTTTTTGAGTAGATCTACTGTAGATGCGGTTTTTTGTTATGGTCCGATATTGTCAAATTCAACCAGGCGATGTGAAAATTATTGGGGGAGGCCTATGTTCAGCAGTGGACGTCCTGTGGCTGAAATTAATGATTATGATGATGGTGATTGGCATATTCAAATTCTTTATTGCTCCATGTTGGTATACAAAGATTCTTACATAGTAAACATAGATATTCATGATTTTACTGCAGATTGTGAGGCCATGAGCAACCTCAATTAAAATCAAAGTCCAAGTCTTCTACAGTCAGCGTCAAATAGTTCGTGACACCCAAAGTGGTCACAAAGTTGACAATACAACCTTATTCCAAATTGTAACAAAGACGTGTTGCGAACTTATTGGCTGCTTTGGGTGTCACAAACTATTTGACACTATTCTTTCTGATTGAACTAAACTAGCAAGTAATTTCAGATCTTCAAGGCCGATTAGCAGATTACAACACAGCTATACGCATAGCGAATGGGGAAGCAACCAAGCAGTCGGTTGAAGACCAAACAAAAGAATTGGAAATCAACAACAGGAAGCTACAAGAGGAAGTAGAACAAGTGTTCCTGGAGAAACAGAGGAAGGAAAATCAGTTGAGGCAGTTAAGAGAGCAAATGGACAAGGTATTCGATACGTCTAATCTTTTGGTGGTCAGATTGTCGTAAAATACACTAAGATTAGTCTTAGAATAGGTACTACAGTCAGCGTCAAATAGTTCGTCACACCCAAGGTAGCCAAAAAGTTCACAAGAGTCTTTGTTTCTTTGGGACACTTTGGGTGTCACGAACTTTTTGACGCTGACTGTAGGTAGTGTATCAAATGTACTAGGTAGGTACCTACCTACATTCGAAAGCTATACGTAACTATACGTTTTTGTTGCGCTCTTAACAAAACGGCAACTTATAGCCGCAGTGTTTAGCTTAGATAAGCTTTTGTCTGGACTTCATAATGCCAATCAAGTAAATTGATTAATTTTCGTAAACCAGGAGCAGTCAACCATATCAAAGCTGCTAGCTGAGATGACCCAAGAACAGAAAGACCAGTACAACGAGCTGGAGGCTACGGCCGCGGCTTTGAGGGAGGAGGTGGAGCAGGCCAGGGCTCAGCTGGACCACCTCAGCAGGGAGAAGGAGGAATTCAGCAAGGAGATATCGGGATCACAGGTATGTATAAAGATTTTTATAATAATGTCTAGGAGTGAAGACTTGTCCCATATTTAGAGAGCTGGATTGTATTTCTACTTCATTTTGGAAGAAAACATGAAATGTTTTTATTGTACCTAAAACAACAAAGAAAATTAAAACAATACATGAGTGTATAGAACAAGACATAACACGAAAAATCAGAAGAGAACATCGTCGGCCTAAATCGACTCATCAATGGCAATCTTTTTTTAACCGACCTCAAAAAAGGAGGATAATCTTAATGTTATATGTCTGCATTTGTCATAATATAAATTACGTAATTATTTTTTTACTTTTTAGTGCACTTTTTTCGAGTTGGTTTTAATTTTTGTTTTAAAATTAATTATTCATTCAACAGAAGAATCGATCAGCTAATGATCTTGCTCTTTCTAGATTAAAGTCCATCTTTTGGAATTGCATAGGCGTTTAGCAGCCGCTGAAGACAAGCGAGACACGCTTAAAAATGAGATGAACAACCGCCTTGAACCTCAGGAAGAGAGGGAGAAGTTACTATTACAGGTGAACTATACTTTCACACTGGACACTGGATGCGCACTTTGACCTGAACGGTGACCGCAGAACCCATCCAGTGTGCAGTGTGGCAAATCATTTGACCTATCGGCGTCTAGTCCAGTGTTCTGCAAAGGGAGTACCGCGGCACACTGGTGTACCGTGGTCATCAGATAATGTGCCTTAGTAAGTAAGTAAAGGTAAGATTAGTAAGAAGAAGTATCCATCTCGGGCGACACATCATGCGCCCGGATGAGATAGCAGATATCACGCTCCAAAGAATCTGGAAATGTATAGACTCAACGGGACTAAGCAGTGAACTCTAAACACAAGGGCTGCCACATTAGATCAAACCTGGTCGAGCTGGCGCAAATGAAGGCCCAAAAATCAATAATAATAAAAAGGGTAAGATTATAAAGTTAATTACTTATTTTTCATGTGTGGTGTACCATCAAAAAAAATTGTTTTCCTAGATGTGACCTTGAACACAAAAAGTTTGCGGAACACTGTTGTAGTCAATATTAGGTAAAGGTATTGCAATTTGCAACTAAGATGATGTTTTTCAGGTTCGCGAAGACAACGCGGCTATCACTTCATTGGACAGTAACGCTGCAAATCTAAAAGAACAGATCAAGAAAGTCCAAGAACTCATAGAGCAAGCTGAACAGGTATGTACTAAAAGAGAAAGTCTATTTTTTTTTATCCACATCGAGGAAGCTCTTTGCCTGTATCTCACCTGATGGTAAGTGACGATCAAGCCGAAGGTGGAAGCGAGCTTCACCCGGAATCCTCAACCACTTAGGAACTGGCCAATAGCCGCCTAAAGTGGGCTTAGTGTGAGTTTTTGTTTGTATACTCACACTGAGCCCTCAGATTAAACTATCCATAATAACCAATGGATATCCGGTGTAGAACTTTTTCCTGATTTTAGTTACATTGATATAATGCTAGCTACCAAACTAAGTATTTAATTTTTTTTCTGGACCTTATGTAGGACTTAGAAGAAGGAAACTCCGAGCGTCATCAGAAATACCGCGAATTGAAGAAACGTGAAGAGACAATGGACACCTTCATGTCCACTTACGACGAGAACCTCAAGAAAGAACAAGAAAAGATAGCTCAACTAGAAAAGGACATTGTATTCGCTTTAGAACACAGCAGTTCTAACATCGACATGGATTTGAGCGAAATAGATACGTTGAAGCAGAAAGAAGGGTACGTTTCCTCGTATGATGATGGAAAGAAGTCGGTGGATACTCTTATGAAGGATTATGAAAGGTTCCACGCTAATTTGAAGAAGGTAGGTCTCTTTAGAGTGCTGATTTACGTAGACTCCTTGTATAAAAAGCCCGGTCTGTGAACACGTAGAATTTTGTCCAATGACCCCTAGCTACCCATCCTTATCGCTCGCGCGTAATTATATTGCTGTCGCGACTGTGCGACTGGCACCTGCAGTGAGTGTGCGAGCGCGATAGCAACATAATTACGCGCGAACGATAAGAATGGGTAGCTTGGGGTCATTGGACAAAATTCTACGTGCTCACAGACCAGACTATAGTAATTATTATAACTTATTCTAGGCAGAATCTACGCGTGAGCGGCTTGCAACAGAACTACAGGCATTACCGCAAAAGACAGAGGCTATGAACGAGGAGCTAGTCACCCTGTCAGATCTAGAAAGACTGAGGGATGAAGGTAACTTGCCCATACATCTAACGTAGGCGTCAAGACCTTAACTAACTTAACAGTAAAGAGAGCTCTCAGCTCAATAGAGTAGAGCAGTGTTTAGAGCAAACATCGCGTTGTATTATGTAATACTCGTAAATAAACTAGTTTAAAAAATTGTTAAAGGTGAAGAACAAAAGAAAACGTTAGAGACGGAGATGCAATTGCTGAGGGAAAAATTAGCTCCGACAGAAAGCGCGGTCACAGAAGCATTGAGCAAACTGAAGAAATTGCAGGTTTGTAGTCGTTATAATTAAACGTTACCAAATAAAGCAATCTACACTCGCGAGCAAAAGTATGGAATCACTTACATGAAGTTGTTTCCACGCGATCTTGTGTACTAACGAATTTGTTAGAAAAAAAGTGGCACCATTTTAAAGATTAAACTTTTAACTTTAAATTGATACCAATTGAAAGCGGTTTATCGGTGACCTGCCGTCTGTTTCGACCCTATGGCAGGACTTTTTGGAGTCAAATTCTATTGCTTATATCTTAGACGAACTGTCCACTCGCTAACAGCTATCCTACGAACATTTCTCAGCTCTTGCTGGACGTCGATACCAGTCAAATGACGATTTCTTAGAGAGGTTGACATGAAAAAAGGGTCATCCCTCTGCGATGTGCAACTTCATGTAAGTGATTCCATACTTTTGCTCGCGAGTGTACATTGGTAAGAGTCTGTACACAATTAAGTGGACCTAATTGGGCGTCCACAACAGTCCTCTACAGCGTTTGGTCTTGAGCTTCGCGTTTGATTTCGCTCCAAGTCTTGCCGATCTTCTTCGCCTCGTCTGCCACAGTGCGCCACCAAGTTTGCGTTTTCCTTTTGCGACCATTCAAATACCGTCCTATTTTTTCATTCAAGTCTAATAAGAACTTTTTTACAGGAAAGCCTGGACGGCAACGAAATGTACACAAGACTTAACAACCTAGAAGAAGAATTGGCTCAACTTGACACCAGGAAGACGGTCTTAGAAGAAGATATAGCGTCAATCACGCTGAAGGCGGACTACGAACCTTTGAAGAAACAGGCAATGGAGGAGCTGGCTAGCTTGAACAAGAAGATTATTGAGGACTTGAACAGCGCTAAATCTTATTGAATATGGTTTAAAAATGGGTTTGTTACGACCACATAAATTAGGTTACTTATTGATAATTTTTACAATTTTATCAATTTTTTGCCGTCTTCTTCGTGTCGCTGAGTTTAACTTTTCCCCGGGACAAACTTGACCTTCACTGGTTGGGTTTTTATTGGCGGTCAAGCTGTAGATCCTGGGTACACAGGAGTTGCAGCAGTGGGAACGAGAGGTGGGAATAGTCCCGTCTTCTTCGTGTGATGTTTTTTCAAATAGAAAGATTTAACTACTAGACTAAGAGCTAGTGAACGCCAGACCTACGTCATTTTATAAAAGCTGAAAGTTTGTCAGCGTATGCTCCCAATATAGGATATAATGTTGGTGAATTATGAAGTTTGGGTCGTGGTGGCTTTGGGAGCTACCCTAAAAAAACTGTCTTTCAAGGAGTTGGAACTGTCAAAAGTGTCTGGCTGTTGGGGAAAATACTTCTAATTATTGTCCAAATATTATACATAAAAATCAGATTTAATGGTATAACGTTAGTAGAATTACAGTCTTTTGAATATACAGAAAAAGCCACCGTAAAAGTTAGACTTACGTTATAATAAAAAATCTGATCTTTATGTATAATATTGGGGCAATAAGTAGAAATATTTTCCCCAACAGCCAGACAGTTTTGACAGTTCCAACTCCTTGAAAGACAGTTTTTTTAGGGTAGCTCCCAAAGCCACCACGACCCAAACTTCATAATTCACCAACATTATATCCTATATTGGGAGCATACGCTGACAAACTTTCAGCTTTTATAAAATGACGTAGGTCTGGCGTTCACTAGCTCTTAGTCTATACCTAAACACATGCAAATTCTACTCGGTATATGAGATGTTTTGACTGCTATGTGAATTTGTGTAATTTTCAAGATCATGTTTCTTTTCATTGTTAATTAACTTATTGTCGTATCATTAGTTATTTACTTTTAAATAAAACAATTCAATAAATTCACCATAATCATTTTAATTCAAAATAATTTACTATATCACAGACATTAGACTTACATTTGCTACACTTCTAAATTTCAACGCTGGCTTTCTTATCCTGCTTATCAAGTAGCGCGAGCAGGTCAGACGGGATGGGTTTGTGGTTCGCTTTGAGCATAGAACAAATGCTGGATACGAACTTTTGAGAAGGAATAGCGTCTGATTCCTGCATTTTGGTCCAGAGAGATAGCGCTCCTTGGGCGTCGTCTTCGCGCTCTGGAAGAAAATATATTTAAAAATTGAGACGAACATGAACTTTGTGTAACGATTTTTAGATTTAATTGCAGGTGGTCTCGCACCCAAGACATGAACATAAAAAACCCTGAAAGGAGTTTTGGCGCCAGTTTTGGTCTCTCACAGTTCACATGGAGTCTTTTTTGTACGTTTGTAGCTTCCGAAGTTGTCCGCTAGTCAGTATAAAAACAATTTTATCGAATACAACACAGTCGTGCTAATGTTCAACAAGAAATTGTAAACAGAAAATGGAGCTTTGTGGTTCGTTCGTGTGTCATCCTGAGCGTCCACGCGCACTGTGAGACCTCATACATAGTCATAGTAATGTTTGTGAATACGCCAGTCGTGGTTGCGCCGAATTTTCTCAGTGTGTGCGTGAGCGTCGCATACGTATATTGGCGCGCTCACATGCAAACCGCGCTCGGTGCGTTTCTATGAAGATAACCTACTCATTTGTATTTCGTTCGTTCGTTCGTTTCAGCCGAAAGACGTCCACTGCTGGACAAAGGCCTCCCCCAAGGATTTCCACAAAGACCGGTCCTGCGCCGCTTGCATCCAGGTACTTCCCGCGACCTTCACCAGATCGTCGGTCCACCTAGTGGGACCTAGTCCACCTAGGCCTGCCCACGCTACGTCTTCCAGCTCGTGGTCGCCACTCAAGAACTTTTGTATTTACTCTGATATTACTTACGATAAACATCCAACATCAGGTCATAAACCTCTTGCACGGGCACGCGTCTAACGCCGTTCGCACACTCGGCTATCGTCTCGAGCGGCTTCACCTTGCGTTCGTCCGCGAATCGCTCGCATCGGCGCAAGAGTGCGTCCGGGTGAAACGTTACGGACGGGTCTAGGAACAGCTTGCGGAGAGTCTTCTTGTAGCCCACTTCGGCTAACGCTGCTATTAGGGTGAGCTAGAATAGTTATATAAATAGTTTATAGCTTCAAAAGTTTATACAATGGGCGTTGATTAAAAAAGCCATTTCGAATGCTTAACTAAATTAGATCGAAATCGACAAGTAGATTGATATACACTCGCGAGCAAAACTATGGAATCACTTACATGAAGTTGTTTCCACGCGATCTTGTGTACTAACGAATTTGTCAGTAACAAAAAAAGTGGCACCATTTGAAAGATTAAACTTTTAACTTTAAATTGATACCAAATTTATTTAAATGACATCAGTATAAAAAATAAAAAGATATCCCGGTTAATGTGAAAAAGTAAGGAAAAAGACATGTATCAACTCATTGATACGTCGCGAGTTGCTGCCTATTTACCCCCTATAAAAGCACGTGTTTTCGGATTTTGCTTTTACACGTGGATCCTTACATATCTCCGCTTCATTTGACACTTTACCTGGGATTCTACACCTTCAGAAGCAGCACAAATCGTTGCACTATTGCAAGAAGAGCTCAGCCAGCAGGCTGTCGCACGTCAGCTCCACATAAGTCAGTCCTGGGTTTCGAAAGTTTTAAGACGCTTTCGGGAGACTGGTGGCTTTATCCCGAGACCAAGTTCTGAACAGCACCGGTGCACATCGCAGAGGGATGACCGTTTTTTCATGTCAACCTCTCTATAAAATCGTCATTTGACTGGTATCGATGTCCAGCAAGAGCTCAGAAATGTTCGTAGGATAGCTGTTAGCAAGTGGACAGTTTGTCTAAGATATAAGCAATAGAATTTGATTCCAAAAAGGCCTGCCACGGGCTCGAAACTGACGGCAGGTCACCGATAAGCACGCTTTCAATTTGCTCGTACACATCTCGATGGGAAGTCGAGCAAGCCACCCCTATAAGCCACTGTTTCAGCGAACCAGCACTGCACAAATCTCTCCCCAGGCCGCCTATAGACCCGACCTCTTCGACTGCTGCACTGCAAACACAGTCTGCATTCATCGGAGAACAAAACTCGCCTCCATTACTCGCCTTCCCATCAAAATAAGTGCGAGCTAATTGAAAGCGTGCTAGTCGGTGACTTGCCGTCAGTTTCGAGCCTGTGGCAGACCTTTTTGGAGTCAAATTCTATTGCTCATATCTTAGACGAACTGTCCACTCGCTAACAGCTATCCTACAAACATTTCTGGGCTCTTGCTGGACGTCGATATCAGTCAAATAACGATTTCATAGAGAGTTTGACATGAAAAAACGGTCATCCCTCTGCGATGTGCACCGGCGCTGTTCAGAACTTGGTCTCGGGATAAAGCCACCAGTCTCCTGAAAGCGTCTTAAAACTTTAGAAACCCAAGACTGGCTTATGTGGAGCTGACGTGCGATAGCCCGCTGGCTGAGCCCTTCTTGCAATAGTGCAACGATTTGTGCTGCTTCTGAAGGTGTAGAATCCCAGGTAAAGTGTCAAAAGAAGCGGAGATATGTAAGGATCAACGTGTGAAAGCAAAAATCCGAAAACACGTGCTTTTATAGGGGGTAAATTGGCCACAACTCGCGACGTATCAAACAGTTGATACATGTCTTTTTCCTTACTTCTTTACATCAGCCGGGATATCTTTTTAAATGCTGGTGTGATTTAAATGAATTTGGTATCAATTTAAAGTTAAAAGTTTAATCTTTAAAATGGTGCCACTTTTTTTGTTACTTACAAATTCGTTAGTTCACAAGATCGCGTGGAAACAACTTCATGTAAGTGATTCCATACTTTTGCTCGCAAGTGTAGATGACCTAAATTGAACTGTTTCACCAAACTCATTGGCGCTACGATCGTTCAACTATATGGTTTCCAACATGGCAAAAATCGGAACCAGCGATCCGGTATTGACGGTGGCGCCCCCCTGTCAATGTCACGGGTGGGACTGAGTTCATTGTATTGGGTCTATATCTTCAGTGGGTCTAGACAAAGTGCAAATTATAATCGCAAACCAGTCGAAAAGTGGTCGAAAAGCCCCTTTTTTGTATGGAGTTTTGACGGATTCGATTTTCGATTCGATCAAAAAGTGCGTTTTGTCTAGGCAGGCACACAGGCATTGTTTCAATGTTTCTTACAAATTCGGTCCGAAAAATTACCTGCACGTCACTAGCCCCGTGGACTTTCTTATCAATGTTCAGAACAGTCTGCGCCATTTTGTTGAAGCGTCCGTTTGACTTTTCATTCACAAGGAACTTCTCTTCCGAGTGCCCTTCGCCCATTTTGGCCATTATTTGGGATAAAAGTTCGTGTTTGAGAGGCGTTTTGGAATATTTGCTCGCTAGACGGACGAATTCGTTCACTGCTTCTTGGAGGTTGTCACTGGAATAGAAATGATGTGGGAATATGAATTATTGTCTCATAAGAACAGTAATCGGCAAGACTTGGAGCGAGATCAAACGCGAAGCTTAAGATAGAACGCGATGGAGGACTATTGTAGTCGCCCTCTGTCCCATCTAGAGAACATAAGACATTAATGCCAGTTTTCACCATCAATCCCTAATTTTTAAGAGACCCCTTTGAACACAAAATTTTTGTTTTGTGTTACCATATGGGTCACTTAAAAATTAGGGATTGATGATGAAAACGGGCATAAGTCAAGTAAGTTAAGTACAGACAGATAATCAGGTGCAAAAAAAAATGTTTGATTCCCATTGAGTTTTCGATAAACAGAGAACTCGGAAAGAAAACTCATGCATTTCAGCAAATGAAAATGAGACTGCCTATTCTAAATTCAAATTGTTATATTCTTTAAATGAATAAATTGGTATTTATGTTTTGCATGCCAACAAGTGTCTCATTACTTTTTACTGTGTAATAAATATGCACTTTAATGGGTAATAAAATGTATCATTGTTTAAACATAAAATACATTCCTAAATACTTTTGGTTGCTAACATGAACTAATAAAATTTAAGTTTGCAACCAATGGTATTTAGAATGCAAATGCATTTATTGAAAATAACTATTTTTATTGCATTGGAAAGTAAATAATTCAAAAAAAATTTGGTCAAACGAATGCAAACCTTTTACGATACGATAACAGTTATCTGTTTATTTTTTCTTCGTGACCAATTTGAAGGTCAATAACAAATTCAACATTTTCATATAATTTCCGGAACGAATTCAATCAACAGAAGGCTAAAGTAATGGGCATAGTTCAAATATGTATCAAGTTCATTTGTCTATAGACCAGCCACATTTGTCGGAGAACGATGAAAAGACGAAAGGTGGAGTTCGGAAAACGGGTCCTCTTCTAAGGAATACCACGTCTCGGACAACGAAGCATAATATGCACCTGCTCGATGGACCGACGAACTTAGGACGAGGGAAAGATAATGGTCAAAGTCAAAGTCAGGGAATATTAAGGCTGAGTTGCACCACCTTATTTTAACCGTAACAATAACAAATAACCGGTGATTTTTATATGGAGTTTGACAGATATTTGACATTTGTCAAAGTTAAATTAAGGTGGTGCAACTCAGCCTAAGGCCCAGAACAGACGGTGAAACGCAACTGCAACGAATTTGCAACTGCTAGTTACTTTTGAGTTGCATCTAAGTTTCTGCCATAGCGTCCGTTGAGAGACCACACATGACGCGACCCGTTTGAAACTATCAGTTTCAGTTTCATTCATCAGAATCATCAGAAAGTTGCAGTTTCGTTGCAGTTGCGTTTCACCGTCTGTTCTGGGCCTAAGTCTTCGGGGAATATTAAGACCAGCAGTGGACTTTATTGTTGAATAATGATAATGATGGTTTAATTTTAAAATAGAAAAACTCACTTTTTCAAATGCACCCGTATCAGCGGCCCCAGCAGTACATTTGACGGCTTGCAATACCGCAAACTTGTGAGCATATCGAACATTTTGATGGTCTCCAAATGGGTCCCGTGCGCCGCCGTCGCGTCTAACAGCCGCCAGCAATTCATTGCGATGCTGCGACCGCCTACTATACGCCTGAAAAGGAATTTTTGTTATTCTATATTAACAAATTCTTTCTATACAGTACAGAAGGATAATACATCAAGTTTCAGATATTATCCGAAACTTTCGGATAATTTCGGTTACGGATATTAGATTTTTTTAAATGTAAAATTCAAATAGCAAGATTATACACACTTTATGTTATGACGGCACCTATGATAACGGTAAAACAGGTGGGGATATCAGATGGTGCCAGGGAATGTCAGACAAGTAACAAATATTAAAAAACATTAAGGTTTATAATCCGCCTTTATCCGAAACTTTTCAATCGGTTTCGGTTACAATTAGGGATATTTTTTTATTTCGAATATCCGATAGTTTCGGTTACGGCTACGAATATCCATAACATCCCTGAAATTGTATGAGGATTAAACTATCCATCAACAAGTCTGTAGTCTGCGGGGACTCAAGTATTGTGTCCCATTGCTGTGAAAACTCTCGGACGTAAACTTAATTTAGTTCAGAAAAACAATTGAGGTAAAATAAAGTAAAGTTTGTACAAGTAACCAAAAGATGTTGTGAAGTTAATGTCTTATTTTAATTTATTTGTTATGTCATAATTAAAGTGTTCAGAGGAATTTCAAAGTTTAGATTTTACAACAGCATTTTTAATATTAGACTTAAATCAATTAACGCAGATTTTAGTAATCAAATTAATAAATTAAACAATACAAACCTTTTCTTTGACTGTTCATTTATCAGCTCAAATGCTTGTTCTATCTTCTTCCTATAAACCATGAGGGTCGCAAAGTCGATAACCTTGAATTCGTCTAAAGTGAAGTTGGGTGACGTTTTGTTCAGGTCGGCCAGAGCTATCTCCGCTAAGTCTAGCTCGCCCAGCTTCACGTGGAGGTCGAAGATGGCTGCCTTCATGCCCGCTGATAGAAACACCTGGAAAGAAAATTACGTAATGAAGTGTATAGATGAACTACACTGAACTGTCCCACCAAACTCATTGACAGGGAGGCGCTACCATCGTTCAACTATAGTTTCCAACATGGCAAAAATCGGAACCAACGATCCGGTATTGACGGTGGCGCCCCCCTGTCAATGTCTCTGATGGGATGGTTGGGTGTAGTTAGACAATATCACGTCAAATTCAGCCAAAACCTAAGTATGATCGCTCTTCATCTAGCCCAGTGAATCCCAATCAGTGGTTTGTGGACATGAGTCAAATGATGGTCCAAAATTTATTTAAAATTTCTTTCATGATTGGATTATGATATTGGACTTACAATTAATGAAGCCACGATAGCCAAACGGTGAAGGGGTTGGACGGGCCGACTCGTGATCCGAGAAACGCGGGTTCGAATTCCGCCGCCGCTCGACTATTGTGGTGAGCTCACTCGTGACACAAGCATATTTAGCTTAGTACGAGAGGCTAACGGGACTATTAGTAATTTGTGCAATAACAAATTCCTGTTTCCTCATTGTAATCTCAATTTCCCGCTTACCCCTTCCTTCTGGCATTTCTCGGCTATCTTCCTAGCCTCAGCTAAGTTCCCATCCCTGCAGTACTGTTGTAACAACTTCCTTAGCACGCCGCGTGTGTTCATACCCTTAGCTTCCAACTCGTTCAAATGCGCGCGTAAGGACTCTTCGTTCATTTGTTTCTGAAAGAAAGAGAAATGCCCTTAGCCCTTTTTAGCGTAAAAAAATGCGTTGACCTGCATATACACCAGTTCGGAGGGACAGATGGGGCTCTCTGCCAACAGGGCACAGCCTACACCCTAAAAATCTGACATTTGTAATGTCATTTACCTTAAAATAGAAATAAACATATATTACGATAAACATAATATTATTATATTTATGGACAAAGAAGTGAAAAAAATACATAAAGCATTACAAGGAAAGAAAAAGTGAACTGAGCAGTGCCACCCTGTTGCAACAGCGATACCCATCGCAATGGGACCCCACTCAGCATATTATGCCGTGGCCCACGGTGGGGAAGGCCACGACACTGGTTTTTATCGTAGCGGGGTGAGGTAGTAATGAAAAGCAGAGTTGCGAGTGTCTCTGTCCATAGATGCGGAGCTAGGTAGCGGAGCGGAGCGCGAAAGTATGCGGAGCAGAGTTGACTGTAGTTTTTTTTTCATACTGGAAGCTAGACTAGGACCACATGATGAGTCAGTTGATTCCCCCGCTTCTTTGTTTTATGAATTTTTAAACTAAAGTACGGTCAACGAGAAGCGATACAAAAGGTCGATTCGACATTCGAATTGACAATCTATTCTGTCTCTTCCCATCTTGTGTATTATTTTGTCGTAATGTCTCGTTCTCCCGCCAAAATATGTCAAAGTCAAACCCTTAGGCTGGGTTGCACCATCTTACTTTAACTTTGACAAACGTCAAAAATCTGTCAAATTCCATACAAAAAGCACCGGTTATCGTCATAGTTACCGTTAAAGATAGGTGGTGCAACCCACCCCTACCATTCCAAATGACCATGACATTGGGTTTGTTTACATTTGGTATCGCTTCTCGTTGGCCGTACTTTAGTTCGCAATTACCTGTCCACTGAAGAGTAGCGAAGATTTTGTGCTATTTTTTGGTGGATTTTTACCTATACACTATGACATAGTCAACTTACTGGGTGCGGCATCTGCTGCGCGAACAAGTCTCCTTCGTCCACCAGCCTGTCGTCCGTGACCTCGACGAGGATGTCACGGAACGCCGCGGAAGCTTCGCGACTGTGCTTCTCCGGCAGACGGCTCATGCAGTAGTCTGATGCTGACGTGGATATCTTCAGTCTTGCCGCTTTTATTGCCTGCGACAAATGAATGGTTTTATTATTGCAATCCCATTTAAAAGACAGCATTATAAGGTGCAGACAACAGATTACAAAATATATGGCTAAGGCCCAAAACACACGGTGAAACGCAATTGCAACGAAACTGCAACTTCTAGTTACTTTTGAGTTGCATCTAAGTTTCTGCCATAGATTCCGTTGAGAAACCACACATGACGCGACCATTTCAAACCGGTTTCACTGTGTGTTCTAGGCCTTGCACACAAATACATTGAAAAAAATAATTGCACTCCGATTATAGCAACTACAACAAAACAGAGCCACTGTTAACACAACTTTTGGACTAATAGACGAGGTCCGTAATCCAATACGCTAATCCAAAATTAGCGTTATTATAAAGAGAGATAAACCAATTAATACAATTTATTGTCTTTGTGATGTCAATGTACGATTATAAAATTTATATTTCACAATGTTTTGTTGGTTATTAACACAATGTTATTAACGCGTGGGATGTCCACCCACAAGGTGGACCGACGACATTGTAAAGGTAGCAGGGAAGCGCTGGACGCAGGCCGCTACCAATCAATCAACGTGAAAAGCATTGGGGGAGGCCTATGTTCAGCAGTGAACGTCCTATGGCTGAAATGATGATGATGATGATTAATAAAACGATATAAATCATAAAATAAAGTCACCTTAGCCAAATCCATGAACTCCGTCAAATCCTCAACGACTTTCTTGTGCTGCATAAAAACACACAGGAATCTGCCCACCCAGTCTTTATTATTGTCTGTAGCCTTTTTCAAGATGTCTTCTAATATGTACACCGTAGACTTCACGTCTCCACTCATCAGGTAACCTCTAAGCAGGGGTTTAAGTAACTTATCGGCGTCTATTTTCCCTTCGAATAGCTCGCCTAAAACAGTGTACATAAGTATCATATTGCAATGTAGGCAATGATTTTAAAATTTGCTTTGCAAGTGCTGCGCAAACGCTTCGCAACAAACTCAGTAAGTTAGTAGATTATTATATCTCTTAAAATAATCGTTTACGTACCGAACAGGGCTTATTCCCATCCAGTCACACCCTGATGGTGCGTCCACATTGGGCGAACGGGCTCGCGCGGCAAACTCGACATCCTGCTCACCCTGCTCTTGAGTGAGCAGGGTGTCGAGTTTGCCACGCGAGCCCGTACGCCCAGTGTGGACGCACCCTTACTCGTTAACCTGTATTTTCTTACTATAAGCTTTAGATTACTTGTTTATTTTTAATGTATTTTGTATTATGCAAGCTCGTATATCCTTTAATATCAATTAAGGGTAAGGTAAGGTTTATGTGTGAGATCAGTACGAGTACGTGTGACTCGATGGGACTTTTTTTCCGAATTTTTTCCTGAAAATTGGGGAATAAGCGCCGAATAGCTGTCAGAGATCGCAGGTTTGATCTCCACACAATACATAGATTCGTGTCTGTTTCAATATTTTCTGATGGCGCTGTGTAAATGTCAAAAAATACCTATTTAACTATACAAAATTATACCAATACCCACATATCTCACTAGCCGCTCTCACTTGCCCAGTCTTCAGCAATGTGTCCATCATTGGCGTAAGTACTGTGCTTACAGTCAGTCCGGTGTCGAGGAATTTCTTCATCAGGTTCTGGGGTGACGTAAAACTGACGTACGGTAACGTATACTCCATTATAGTCTCGTAGTCTGGCTTGACGTCCATGGTCACCATTGTTTTTAGGGTGTTCATTATACCTGCGAATGGTATTGTAGTATGTTACGCCGGTGGTTTTTTAAATTAAATAAATAAATAGTGTCTTTTTATTGTAATGAAATACGATCATATGATCATGAGACAAAAAATACAAGTTCATCGCCATCAACAAAAAATATTAACCTAAAGATGTTGGCAACTCTTATTATAGGGAGAACTTCCGAAAATATAAAGGGGTCGTAATAAGCCCGATTTTCTGACAATTATTGGTTTTACAGCCATGCCTTGTTCCTAGCAAGGTTGTGTTTTCTGAATTTTCTTGCTTAAGACTTGACTAACAAAAAACAACCTTATTGACTTGTACCAAGCCTTTAATCGGGCCGATGAAATTATTTTGGCAGTCCACTAATAACGTAAGCTGTCCCTAAGAGTACATGAAAGCACGATCTCCCTGTCTTATCTGTCATATGCCATGCCATAATTAATGAGAAATCTCTTTGCCTTACATCTTCCCATCTTTTGATGGTATCCTACGCTATTTAATATGTAACCTACCTTTCTCGCCATAGCTCCTCGAGTTATGCAGCAGTATCGGCCAGAAGTAGTGCGGTCTGATCGGCAGGCCGAGCTGTTGCATGCGCGTGAACATGTCTAAAGCCAGCGGCACTTTGCCCAACTGTAGGGCTGCTTCGGACGCGTTGTGGAGCGCTATGGGGTTCCGGCCGGACGACATTAGCTCTTGGGTTACGAGCGCTATGACACTTGAAGGCTGAAAAGGTAAGGTGTGTGAGATATTTCACAATAAATCAAATCAAATCAAAAATATTTTGTTCAATTTAGACCACTAGTGGCACTTATGAACGTCAAAATATAGTAAAAAAAGGTAGCCCTTAATAATGAGGGCTTTTTAATAATTTTGAAATGCGAAAATAAATCTGTCTGTCTGCCTTTTTTTTAAATTCACAGAAAAAATATGATGGCTTTGAATGATATATTGGATCTTGGGGAAAGATGTAGGCTATGTTTTGTCTCAAAAAAAAATTGAAGAGGGTGAAATAGGGGACGTAAGCTGGTAGATATACTGAATAAAGGACAATGACCAAAAGTGGTCCAAATGTCCACCACCAATGAGACCTATATTGGCTTATAGTCCTTTAAATAGAGATTAACTTTCAGTATGGGACGAAAAAAAAATAAGCTGTCAGTAAAAAGTTATGACTGTTTGAAAAAATGTAGTAGTTTACGCGCTAATCTCAGGAACTACTGATCCGATTTGAAAAATTATTTTTGTTATGGATAGCCCATTTATCTAGGATGGTTTTAAGATAAATAAAATCACCCAACAACCAATAGGGGCGGAGCAGTAAAGACAAATGTTGTAAAAATGGGAAACATTATTCTAACAATTCTCACGCGTACAAAGGCACAGCCAGTATAATATTTAATAAAGTTCATCTATAACCCCACGCCACATGCGACATGACATAACATGCGTAGATTAGTTCAAAATGTGCAATGGATAGAATGATATCAAGAACATTTTTCGGATGAAAAGGTAAAAAACAGACTTTTCATTTAGTCATAACTTTTTACTGACAGCATATTTTTGATTGCGGTTTGGTTATAATGAATCAGTATTTAGTAGACTATTTTACTACATATGTCTCGTTAGTGGTGGACATTTGGACCACACTCCATACATTTTTGGTCATTGTCCTTCATGTTGGCAATATGAAAACTTATATGCTTTCGGTAATGTTTTTCTTGCCACATAGTCTCTTAAAGGCCTTTTTTCGATGTATCTCTGCTTAAAAAACCTTTCTGCCAACAGTTATAGCATGGCTTGGTATGTAAATTATTCATGGGTATTATTAATACCAAATTCAATATATTTAAAACATCATTATAGTTTACCATAGCTGCTTTAACGCAGTCCCTAACCAAACTTCTTCCATGTAAACCTTGGTCATCCTTCGGTCCAAACGAAGGCAGCGGCAGGCACTTGTATATCTCCAGAGCAGCTAACGGGTGGTTTTGGAACACCAGTAGTGTGCACACACTTTGCATGTACGGAGAAATGGAAGGAGTCTTCAAGATCTCGTCAGGTAAGAATTGCAGAACCTGAAAATGAAAAAAGTCAAAGTCAGTTTTTTACTTATACCAGGCCTGTTCATCTCCGCGAGTTTACATCGAAAACAAAACACGCACGATGTCCCACCTACAGGATACTATTCGACAAGGCCTCACATACGAGCGAACATTGACTCACGCACGCGTATTCTTGTGTATGATGTAAGAAAATAAAGAAAATGGTGTACTAAATACTGTGCATTATTTAACTGCCTAAATAATAATAAAAACACAGAATGTACTTTTTTAAGTTGCCTCAAGACACTGAGAGATAAATAAGTAGTTAATGTTATTCATAATAATTCATGCTAAATCATGTATTTCCTCCGCCATTTTCCGCAGTTTGGCACCTCACGTCACATAATTTTACCGAAGTCAGCCCTATAGCTTCGGCGCAGTGCTGATCACTGACGTTTGTCAACAAAATGGTGCTTGACTCTTGAGACAGGCTAAATTGCGCCATATTGTTAATGACATTGAGCATACATTTTTTTAAATACCTTCGCGAAGTAAAACTTCTGTACGTAGTACTTATTATTATTCTGTGCTTATACTAAGAATACTACCTATACTTGGGTCCTTTCCAGGGCGCTTATTGACGTCCCAAACATAGCTTGCCCTACCACCACTTCAGAGCAACTATGGGCTGGCTAAGCATAATAATTCATCAAGTTTAAGCCTGATAAAAGTGTCTGTCCATCTGAAGTCTAAATCAACCATTTAATTATGTATTACCAATTTGTGCCTGACGGTGTCAAGCTGACACCCTGTATTATGTTTTATTTACCCTCCTCTTACCACTGTTCATTGTTCATACAGTTTTTATGATCAAAAATTACCTTAGGTATAGATCCATACAATCCAATACTGGCCAAAGTTTTCACAATTTCCATGATATGTGTTTCCCCAAACTCCAACCCTCTACTCCTTGCGTTTTCCATTTCTTCTAGAAGGTTAGGGGTTCGTTTATTCCAAGCTAGGGCGCGGGCGACTGCGGTATATGTGTCGATAGATTTTTCCAGTTTTAGTGACTTCATCATTGTTAGTACTTCTTGTATGTTCTGTGGGTTTCTGTGATAAGAAAGTACAATAAAGACCTAATATATGCTAATGGCTATGTCAGATTTGAGGTAAATGAGAGCAGTAGGTATCAAGTTAAGGGGGTGTCCATTAATTACGTGAGACAATTTTTGCAATTTTTCAAAAACCACCGCCAGGCTAGATTCAGATAGAAGATACAAAAATTTTGCAGTACATAATTATGTTCAAAATAAACTTGCATATAATTCACTAAGTGAAAGCAATACCATCTAAAATTACTTCTTACCCAGCTTTTCCTTGGCAGATTATAAGGGAATTGAAAATATTTTCATTTGCAGGCAGGTTTTGGGATTTCATGTTAGATATCACTTCAGTACTTTGGTTTAAATCACCAGCCTAGAAAATCAAAGTAATTGTAATAAGAGTACAAGAAGGTACCTATGTTTATAGAAATATCATCATACAACCCTCTGGCACTTTGTGGCCAAAGACCTTAGTGACAAAAAGAGTCTTCTAACTCTACAGATATTTTTTTTCATCCCACTTAAAATAAGTCCTATCCTAAGTGATTAATGCCCATTTTTACCATCAATCCCTAATTTTTAAGCGACTCTGAAAAAAAAAATTCCTGTTATGTGTTACCTTAGGGGTCACTTAAAAATTAGGGATTGGTGGTGAAAATGGCCAAGAATCAAGAATGTATGCTTTATGAATATAAAAAAAGTTAAATTTAAATACATACTTCAGCAAGGGCTCGCAATATCAGTTCATATGTAGTCACGTTAGGTTTTGCCGGAGCCATCTGCTGGATAAAAGTGCTGACCGTCAGTGTTCTGTTGTTAGCGATGTACACTCTTAGCAACTCGTTGTAATGTTCTACTTCAAACTCGGTATGTAGTCTGAAAATAGAAATAATCGTTATTAAAATAGTTATTTGTCATTTTTGATGTTATAGTATTTATCTTAATGAAAGTGGTTTTATTTATTATCAGATTTGAAAATACATTTTTGATAAGATTTCCTAAAAAATAAATAAAATAGAGCAGGGTGGAAAAAACAGTTTCTTCCGTATCTTAAGATATATACACTTAGTGAGCAAATAAATCATTTGAATATGTGTTTGCAGGATCCGCAGAGTAAGGAATATAAAATGTGTGCATAAATAAGAGACAAAATTTGTAAGCCTTACTTGGTTGGTACACCTAAGAAATAACATAAATCTTACTTGATAGCATTCCAAATGATTTCTACTAATGCCATTCTCGNAAAATGTATGCTCAATGTCATTAACAATATGGTGTAATTTAGCCTGTCTCAAGAGTCAAGCACCATTTTGTTGACAAACGTCAGTGATCGGCACTGCGCCGAAGCTATAGGGCTGACTTCGGTAAAATGATGTGACGTGAGGTGCCAAACTGCGGAAAATGGCGGAGGAAATACATGAATTATCATGAATAATATTAACTACTTATTTACCTCTCAGTGTCTTGAGGCAACTTAAAAAAGTACATTCTGTGTTTTTATTGTTATTCAGGCAGTTTCAGTATTTAGTACACCATTTTCTTTATTTTCTTCCATCATACACAAGAATACGCGTGTGTGAGTCAATGTTCGCTCTTATAGTGAGGCCTTGTCGAATAGTATCCTGTAGGTGGGCCATCGTGCGTGTTTTGTTTTCGATGTAAACTCGCGGAGATGAACAGGCCTGCTTATACTAAGAATACTACCTATACTTGGGTCCTTTCCAGGGCGCTTATTGACGTCCCAAACATAGCTTGCCCTACCACCACTTCAGGGCAACTATGGGCTGGCTAAGCATAATAATTCATCAAGTTTAAGCCCGATAAAAGTGTTAGGAACTGAAGTCTAAATCAACCATTTCATTTATTATAGTCTGGTCCGGGAGCACGTAGAATTTTGTCCAATGACCCCAAGCTACCCATCCTTATCGCTCGCGCGTAATTATGTTGCTATCGCGCTCGCACACTCACTGCGGGTGCCAGTCGCACAGTCGCGACAGCAATATAATTACGCGCGAGCGATAAGGATGGGTAGCTACGGGTCATTGGACAAAATTCTACGTGCTCACGGACCGGGCTTTAGCCGCCATCACACGGCCTGCACCACAACAACCGCACGAAGTCGCATCAGCAACCGCACGCAGTCGATATATTCAACTGCATGCAGTTGTCTGCTGACTTTCTCAAAGAGACAAGGTTCAAAATATAAAAACTAACATGGATTTCGTAAGGGAGGTTCAAAGATTTTTCATATTTCGACCCAAGTTTCTTTGAGCAAGTTGTTCAGGATCACAGTTTGAACTACCCTGCAAAATATTGCTCGTAGTTCTTTTTACACCATGTGTAAGTAAAAATTAAAATTACCTTAGGTATAGATCCATACAATCCAATACTGGCCAAAGTCTTAACAATTTCCATAATATGTGTTTCCCCAAACTCCAAACCTCTACTTCTTGCGTTTTCCATTTCTTCTAGAAGGTTAGGGGTTCGTTTATTCCAAGCTAGGGCGCGGGCGACTGCGGTATACGTGTCGATGGATTTTTCCAGTTTTAGCGACTTCATCATTGTTAGTACTTCTTGTATGTTCTGTGGGTTTCTGTGATAAGAAAGTACAATAAGGTCCTAATATTTGCTAATGGCTATGCCAGATTTGAGGTCAATGAGAGCAGTAGGTATCAAGTTAACAACTGTAGCACCACCAGCCTAGATTCAGATAGAAGATACAAAAATTTTGCAGTACATAATTTTGTTTAAAATCAACTTGCATATAAATTCACTGAGTGAAAGCAATAAGATCTTAAATTACTACCTGTGTTACTACATACCCAGCTTTTCCTTGGCAGATTATAAGGGAATTAAAAATATTTTCATTTGCAGGCAGGTTTTGGGATTTCATGTTAGATATCACTTCCGTACTTTGGTTTAAATCACCAGCCTAGAAAAACAAATTACAATAGGAGTACAAGAAGGTATATTTTATTATGTTTATAGAAATATCATCATACAACCCTCTGGCACTTTGTGGCCAAAGACCTTAGTGACAAAAAGAGTATTCTAACTCTACAGATGTTTTTTTTCTTATCCCATTTACAGTAAGTCCTATCCTAAGTGATTAATGCCCATTTTTACCATCAATCCCTAATTTTTAAGTGACCCCTTTGAAAATAAAATTCCTGTTATGTGTTACCTTAGGGGTCACTTAAAAATTAGGGTTTGATGGTTAAAATGGCCAAGAATCAAGAATGTATGCTTTATGAATATAAGGGCTGATTTTTCAATCGTCGGATAACTTTTAACTAAAGAATAAGTTTGGCACATTGACAGTTTTAGTATGAGAAATATTTCAAAATGACAAGGTTATTCTTCAGTTAAAAGATATCTGACGATTCAAAAATCAGCCCTTGAACAAGTTAAATTTAATTACATACTTCAGCAAGGGCTCGCAATATCAGTTCATATGTAGTCACGTTAGGTTTTGCCGGAGCCATCTGCTGGATAAAAGTGCTGACCGTCAGTGTTCTGTTGTTAGCGATGTACACTTTAAGCAGCTCGTTGTAATGTTCTACTTCAAACTCGGTATGTGGTCTGAAAATAGAAACAATCATTATTAATATTAGTTATTTGTCATTCTTGTATTGATGTTTTAATAATACAATTTGTCTTGAATTAAAAAGGTTTTGTTTCATCAGATTTTAAATACATTTTTGGTAAGATTTCCTGAAAAAGCAATAAAATAGTGCAGGATAAAAAAAACAGTTACTTAACTTCATCTTAAAACATATATTTTAACTCAAGTCCCCAAGATACAGGATTATCTAGTTTGGGGACTACTAGTAAGCTGTACATTGTAATCTTTGGTAATAAAGGTTTTATTATTATTATTATATTATTATTATACACACTACACTTATGCTGGATTTCTATATTCAATCTTAATCCAAATTGGACGGATTTGGATTGTCAACTGTCAAATTTAAAAATGTTTTTGGCTAAAATATCTGTGGTTTTTGAAGTTTTTACATTTTTATATTGTTTATAAGACTATTTAAACAATATTAAAGTGTAAATGCGTCGAACATTTTGGAAATATAATCTAAAACAGAATTCAATTTGACAGTTGTAATCCGGATTTGGACAAGGATTGAATATAGGAATCGGGTGTTAGTGAGCAAATAAATAAATTGAATATGTGTTTGATTGTAGGATCTGCAGAGTAAGGAATATAAGTGCATAAATATGAGACAAAAAATATAAGCCTTACTTGGTACACCTAAAAAATAACATAAATCTTACTTGATTGCATTCCAAATGATTTCTACTAATGCCATTCTCGTTGCGGGCGTTTCATCTGGCATCATTTCAGTGCAACATCGAATAAGTAATAACCCTTGTTTCTTGGTTGAAAAATTCATTTCCTCCACCTTTTTTATCACTCTCACCAGGTCATTCTTGTAAACACGGTTTTTATTATGAATGTCAGTGGAAAGACCTGCTATCAGCTTCTCCAATAGATCGTTGGCCGATGGTTTATTAGGTTTTAGTGCTGTTTCAGACGAATTCGATTGTAGCGTTTTTGGACTAAACTGCAACCTCTTTGAAGAATCTGACCCACGCGCCGCATTTTGTACAAGTGCAGTAGAGGCAAATAATCTGAAAAGTAATATTGTTAGTAGGCTATTGTGTAAATAATACCCTAAAAATTTGTAAGTAACAAAACTAACCTAGAAGTTTGAGTATTATGGCACTGGCAAGAGTAAGAAAGCCCGAAATATTTTTCTTTCAATGACAACTTGTTAGATAAGAAAACTCTTGCTGGACTAGATAATTTCGTACAGTGTCGAGTAAGAAACATTTTAAAGAATTAATTGGAAAGTTTTCAAAACAAATGGACTTTTCTTGAATGAATTTTGACAGTGACAGTTTAGTAGATTGACATTAAATTAAATGTTACCAAGCTGAAAAATTATAAAGGGTAGTGTAGATAAGTCAAAATAACGCTACTATTCATTAAGTAACGTTATTTCGATTGGTCAGAGTGCTAATCCGAACGTGTTTTTTTTGTCCTCATGTTGGTACAACTGATTGAAGCAACTTCACGTTACTGTAGTTTCACAAATTAAACCAAATTAAACTCGTGGCGCTAGTGTCCTCCTGTCGTGTGTCAATCGTGGATGTGGTGGAGTGTTTTGTGTTGTTGAGAGTGAATGTAGAAAATTATTCAATTTAATGTTGTCATGTGGTGAGTTTATTCTTTTGGTGATAACATTTTTCACGGAGAAATTAATTTACGTTGAAGTGGAGTGGACAGTCCGAGGTTATTATTGTTGCTTTGGTATAAACGTCATCAGTCGGCCGTTAGTTGACCGCCATCGCCCAAGCTTGCGACGAATGAATACTGCTATCGCCAGTTCGGCACCGCCTTTCCTGCAGATTGTGACATCTGTGAGTCTTCTGATAACGAATAAATGCAGCTAAATATCTGTGGAATGTGCGTCGGCAGCACGGCGTTATGAGCACCTAACCTTGCCGCGTTAGCTCCCTTCAGTTTGTAACCAGTTTTGTAAGTTAGAGTTGCCGCCTTCCCGCGGATGATTCATAAATACAAGATTTTCCAATTACATCTTAGTAAAGTGGAATGTTAATGTCCTAATGATACTCATTGCTCTCAGTTAACTGGGACAGTATTATTTACAGATTTCTAATATCTTGGGTTTTTTATGAATAAATTTTTTTATTTATTATCAAGAACTGTTTATATCTTGAATGCTAAACTTTGTGATAATAATAGGTCAGTAGTGTTACAGCTACGAATACTATTTAGGTTGGTTTCGAATGTAAATTCATTTTCAGAATCACATTGAACATTCTAGAACATAATGAACAAAATAATGCACATCTCACAATTTGACGCTTGATGATCACATAATTTATTCATTCTGAACATTACTTTGCAAATTGCACACTATACTGATACTAAACAAATCCGTTGCCATGCCTCACAAACCCCTAAAGAAGGTTAATCTTGTAGATAAAACATGAATTTCAATAATACATAAAACCAGTTCATAGCAATTGCAAGTGTGTATATTTTAAGAAATCATTATCTAGGTACTTTTATTCCTAATAATCAAACAAGATTTTTTGACAGAGACCACTATTTAAAAAATGTTTACTAAGTAAATATTCGTCTGACACTTCAAGAAATTACCTACTTCTTTATGCCTTCAAATTGCTTTGATTTGAGGATTATTAACAACATTCTTGTTAAATAGAAAATACACTACAGGGAAATTAAATTTACAATAACCATAAACAGTATCTGTACATTCCGTCACTAAATTAAATTCCAAATTGATCAGTAACAGCAGTAGCTAGCTATACACATGCCACAATGTTATCATGTGATGAGTAGGTATGACCAAACTATCCTACAATGTAATGTTATACATACATAATTAGTTTTATCACACAAGGACAAGCATGATAACAATTTCAAAGTCATAATGTAGGCTAAATTGTGTCATATTTATAATATGACATTATAAATCCCATTTCAGAAGCTTAAAAACGTTGATGTTTTATTGATAGAAGAAACTGCAACAATCAGAGAAATAATGTTTTGTATATTAGTTAGCATTTTGAATTTTATAATAGACTAATGCCCGTTTTCACCATCAATCCCTAATTTTTAAGTGACCCCTATGCAAACAAAATACCTATTATGTGTTACCATAGGAGTCACTTAAAAAATAGGGATTGATGGTGAAAACGGGTATAAAACTAGGGTAACCCAAATTTGCAAATCCTATAATATTATCAAGCATTTACTGGATTATTCTAAAGCAAATATAGAACCTATCACATGTCCCATAACATTACTATCTATCTTAAAATCCCGTACAAAAGGGTAATCCTGCCTTTCTAATCTAGAAAATAAACATGTAAAGAGAGCGAATAATGTAAAAGTATACCTATTTGGCTTTGATCGAAGCACCCGCTGGGTCTCGTTTGTCATGCGCGACGGTGCGCCTGCGACGGATGGCAACAGTCCGAAAGAATGCCGCCCGCTTGACGGGCGATTAGCGATTTTGGTCCAGTGACATTGGTTATTTATTTACCGACGCCCGGTTGGTACATTTTCTGTTGCAAATGCGCCTATCACAATAAGATGTGACAGAGTTCACTTTGACCTGCCGTAGTCCGTTATCCGTACTAGGTACCTACATATTGGTCTAATGATCGTGTTCGTCATTTATTAGTCACGTGCTTTATCGTAATTTTTCGTGTATTCGTGTTCATATAAAGTTCGTTTTACCTAATTAACCTTTACCCCCACTGAAAGTGCGTAAGTTCTGTCTATAAAAGTAATTACGAAACGTCCTAAAGACTAATATTGATGACTTTCGGAACCCATTGGCCAACATTGCAACCTACTTCGATTCCCTAGTCTAGTTAATGGAATTACTGACAGTTTAGCATACATTTTATTTCCAAAAAAATGTATCTAATTGTCCTTCCTGAGCGGTTCCTATAGTAGGTAGGTACCTACATAATCTGTTTCCGTGTGAAACCATTAGAAATTTAGTCTATTTCTTCATCGTTCCTGTCCGTTAATAATTTTTGTATCTATTGTATTTCAATATTAGCTATCCGCGTATCGCGTTAAGTGTTAAAACTTGTAAAAATTAATTCAATATCAATTATGCAACGCGAAAGTTCAAAATTAATTAAATAATAATAAATATTTCGCCGCTAAACCCTTTTACTTGAACCTCCGCGGGTGTACGTTACGGACGGAAGCCTCGCATGCTTTTGCGCCGGCAGATTACACCGATCATAGATCAGTGCTGATTCAGAGGGGGCGATCAACGCACACGGAAAACTCGCGATGTGCGTGAAAATACCGTGAACAACAGTGATGCCGTTTTTGAAAAACATGTGCGTGTGCCATTCGTTCCGAGACATTAAGTGATTGCCTCAATCAATGTATTTACTCAAACTTAACCGGTGGGTGAAACTGTGTACTTATTCTTTAGATTTATGTATGACTCAGACAGGAAACGATTTCTTATTCCCAATGCGTGTCGTGCTCGTAACAAGAAGCTATTTCAACGATTTGTAGAGATAGTTCAGTAATCTCGAATTAGATTTATACGGTGGTCTATAATTGGATCGTCATACACGTGTCTGATGTTTGGAAATAAGTGTCTTTGAGTTATTTTACAGTATTCTGTAATACTCCAATGGAGTAGATTGGATTTTGTGATGTGGGTTGCTCGACTGGCTTTGAAATGAGAAATCAGAAAATCGATTCAGATTTTAATAACTTTGCTCAAGCTTCATTGAAAGGCATTTCGGGATGTTTGAATTCTGAATTTCTGATTCAAATTGAAATCTGTAGGTAATGCGTGGGTAAGGGTATTTATAATCATAGAATAATATTATAAACGAGAATTAACACTCAAATAGGCTGTATTATGATTTAAGCTCCGTTATTGCCCTTATAATTGAAAAGCCTGTCCGTTTAGATACGGCATCCTACATTCGGATTCAATTTAACAATTCAGTGAATCGTATAAGCGTTTAATGAGAGCCGGTGAAATTTTCAGTGAATTGTTGAGTGAAACCTATCATATCACTGTTTATCTATTTGTTAGATTATCTTCTAAACTCAGTTTCCAAACTGGGACCGTTAAAAATATCGTCTTCAATATACATGCTGGCCCCAGTTTAAAATATTCACTGGCGAAGGAAAAAAGGTCGTCGACGCGAAGTGTAACGTGGGAATTTTACTATTTTTAGGTTGACTGGCCCTTAATAAAGCATGATGGAGGCACTCGCGACACGACACGAAAAACGTAGCCCATTATTGATAGCCAAAGCCTAGTTTGTGCTTATGATGCCTACTGTATAATTTCATGGAACATGGAAAGCATTGGTGGAGGCCTATGGCTGAGATGATGATGATGATGATGATGATGATGATGATGATGACTGTATAAGTTCCACCTTTAGCCCCAGTTGCACCAAACTGTGACAATAACAATAACCGGTGTTTTTGTATGGAATTTAACAGATCTTTGACGTTATTAAAATTAAATTAAGATTATTAGATAGCTGTGAGTTATTTGCCACTTCTACTTGCCTACAGCTTCAAGGCTTATGTCTACCAGTCTTTATTTTTACTCTCGTTCTAAGAAATCAGTTCGTATTAATATTAATTAATTAAATTAGGTATGTATGTGCGAACCCGCATTATAATTAGCATGCCTTTCTATTGTTCTTACTTCTACTGAGATGTAGGTTTTCATGCCAGCTGGCGAAATATTCTTAGTTTGACCTTGGTTGCTAATGTTGATAATGCTTTTTGCATTCCACCCTTTTATTTTAGGGTCAACTGTACTGTACAGTTGTAAGAATGTACAGTCTGTACATTCTTACATCGAAATAAAATAATATGTCATGTAGTAAACTAGCTATAACATAGCTAGTTCCTGATCCATTGTACAAGTTTAAACTGACTAATTATACAAATACAAACATGTAGCTAGTTGGAACATGCAGAACACTTCCTACACCACTCACACCGTGTAGAACACAAACCAAGTTACGTGATGTAATGTAATGATGAAGTCTCACTTCCACTTGAGTACTAAAGGCATCATTGAAGTTCCAAATGGGTGTTAATTGAAATTTAAATACCCTACAGTTTATTATTTAACTAGCTTTCCGTCCGCGGCTTCGCCCGCGTGGAATTTTGTCTGTCACAGAAAAACTTTATCGCGCGCGTCCCTGTTTCAAAAACCGGGATAAAAACTATCCTATGTTCTTTCCCGGGACTCAAACTATCTCTATGCCAAATTTCATCAAAATCGGTTGCGAGGTTTAAGCGGGAAAGCGTAACAGACAGACAGACAGACAGAGTTACTTTCGCATTTATAATATTAGTTGGGATAGTTGGGATTAGTTGGGATAATGCTCGTATTATCTTCAAAGTTATTTTCATGTTAAAATATCATACTTGATTACTTGATGAGAATCTCCTCCTTTTGTTGAAGTCGGTTAACAATAACTCCGTTTCGCTATGAATGAGTCCTGCAATATTCGAAATGGAAAATAAGACCGACAACCTGTCATTGATACTGGTTGTCTATGGCGCCGTTTCTGAACTGAGATTTTTAGCTTGAACTATGTCCTTTCGTAGACTGTCCACCAAATTATTCGTTTATTCTCCAAATATTTTCTACTTACCCGAACCAAAGCTGGCTGCAGTGCTTAAAATGCTAATAAACTTTGTTTTTCTTGTTTCGACGGATTTTTTTTTGTTCTATCACCAGCCAGTTAGTGTATTCTTAGCTTAATATACATGTACTGATAACGCTTTCAATTGTTTCAGGTTTCGTGCGCGTGTCGTTAGATAAAGAAGTGCTGTGATTGGATTGCTTTCATCCAACTGTGGAATGGTTCCGGGGACCTGGCGCTGTCTTGTTCAAGTGAGTCTTATGCAGACATGTTTAAAGTTAATTTTGAATTGACTTCCAAAAGCAGTTTCTTGACCATCGACAGAACCGAGTGTGCCGTCAAAAGAGATGATAGACTAGACCCCCCAAATTTTTTATTTAAATTAAGTGCCTTTTTTCTGTGATGCGGATTTCGGGACGCGTGTGGTTCTGGTCCGCGTGCGTGTAAAATCACGCTGCTGGTTGCACGCAGGACAAAGATTTCTCGTGCCCGCAGCCAATTTGCGTTCCGCATGCGTGTTGCCCGCATAAATTAATAAAATGTGGTCCTGGACAATAATGAAGGGTGGTCAATCCTCATGCGGACCAGATCCAGTGCTGAAATCCGCATCACAGAAAAATGGCACTAAATAATTACAAAGTTACTTTTGAACGAGAGTACAGATTAATGAATAGTTGCGTGTTTAGCAGATGTTTATTGTTCTACAAAACTTATCATGTCTCGCAAATATCAGACAAATATCGTTTGACAAATACCGTTGCATTTGACGATAATATGTTTCTATGAATTTATCAATGGACGAGACGGCTGTTCACTTTTATGACGCTGCCAATGTCCGGCCATTGTATTTGATTTGCTCAGTATCAATCTCCTTTGTACATTTCAAATTCAAAGTTCATGGACCTTTATTAGCAATATATAAAATAATTTACATTTTTTTTCTAATTATACCAATTTACGACATGTATCCTCTTTTGCCTTTCATCACAAAACGGCTTCCTCTCATTGACGTATTTGAAATCTCATTTTTAGTCTCAACTTCAACTCTAGAGTGAATTAATTTTTAAATAAGTACGGGTTTTACAAACATTTATTACCCAAACAAAGGTATTCGCTTGTGTATAAATACAAGTTTATGTATGCCGTGACCCGTAAAATGACATTAATTTACGTTTTTATAAAGATACGTTTATATGGTTTCGTCTGTCTGCAAAACTAATTGCATTGCGCTAATTGTGTGTTAGGCGGGCTTAATTAACAATTCAAATTAATTTAAAGTACCTAAAGAACTACATCCATGCTGGTCTTATGTTGAATACTTTAATATTTTCTGTGTTCAAAGTTATTGGTCTAGTTTATTGGACGTTTATCTGAGTCAGTGATTGAGGTATGGGAGCGGTACGGAAGGGTTGACATTGACATATGACGTAACAGAGCATATAAATCCAAAAGAAATCTTGCTCACTTTTGACGTCTGAAACCCATGCTTTAGGCACTGACTCAGGTAAGCCCTAGTGTCACGCGGACTGTCAGTGCGGATCGCTCCGCACAGCCGATCTGTATGAACTGCTAGGTAGCGGAGCGGTTCCTCCGGACCGCATTACTCTAAAACGCTCCCTAGAAGTTCATACAGATTGGCCGTGCGGAGCGGGTCCGCACCGGACGGTCCGCGTGACACTAAAACCAGCCTAACATATTATTAGGATTAATATTCAAATTGGCTCGTAACCTCATCATTATTAAACTTGATGTTACGGTAATTGATATTAATTTTCAGATTTTCCCGCAATCTAATATCCAACCTCATTGAGCTAGTTAACACATTAAATGAGCTAGTTATCCGAATAAGAGCTTGTAGAACATTTTTTACAATGAAAATGACGATGCTAAAAGCTAGCTTAACATGGTTGTAATAAGCCCTATTTTATAACGAAAATGTACAGTCTTAAGTGCTGGCAGTTACCTATTACGTCAAAGGAATAAATCTTCAAAGTGGATGCTGTAAGGAGAAACGGAAAGTGTTTTCCTTGTCTTCTTACAATCTGAGAACATAATGGAATTTATATTGTCAATTTTTACTGTTTTTCAAGTTGTGTTACGTAAATTGTTGTAGTTACTTAACAAGCCCATGCCTGGCTTTGAATTTAATTCTGAAAAACTGTCATCGATGAAATCCAGTTTGTTATTATTGAGTGTAATATTAGCAATACGATGCAAAATCCCCTGCATGACCTTGTCCAATTCCATATTTCCCCCTCGATTTACTTCAAACGTTGACACGCAAATGACATCATTACAATTGGTCTGTATTAGTCATTTTAATCGATATCAGTCGTTATTATTATTAAAATTTACACATTCTCCCTAAACGTTGTGTGCAAGGAATATTTTTCCTTGTACGTACAAATATTGTGTCGTGGAAGCCTCATCACAACGTTTCAGTCGTTTGTAGCTATCATAATCTAATTTGACTGCTAATACTATTAAAACGAATATTTTAATATAACCACAGTCTCACTTGCTGATTAGTAGGTATGAATACTGGTTTGACCATCATCAGAGGATTGAGGTTGGACATAAGAAATCTTTTTCTTTTATAGTGTGGTGTAAACAACTGAGATCACAACACAACCTGGTGATCCATCTGTTGTCAAACTATAAAATAAGAGTTACTGAGAGACACAAAAACCCTGTTCGTCAAATAATAAGCATTCAGCATTTTGCATAAAAGCAGCCATAGCTCTTAATACGATTAGAAAAGTTAGTGTAATTGTTAGTTTATTTTCTCCTCTACCACCTTTAGGTTGAACTAAACTTAAACAATATCAGTCTTCCAATTAATTTCCAAAACTCACACTAAGTTTCGTACCAAAGACCGACCACCAAAGGCAATTTAAGCAAATTGAACAATTCATGGACCTGATTTCTTGTTTTCAAACAATAATACTTACAAGTTCATGCATTCAAAGTGTATGTCGGTGCTATCCGATAAACCAATTAGTATTCAGGCAACACCAACGACAGTTGTCCCAGCGTGTTGGTGGAACGCTTAAGCCCGCTTACAACTGGATTGTAGTGGGTCGTAATTGCGCTAATGTTTGTCATTGAATGCCAATGTGACTGGCGGAACGAAGTTATTGTCTATTAACTATTTGGAATTGAACTGGAATGAATGTGTTCATTTGGTCTAACAGCTAAAGGGTCATTCCATGACAAATGTTACCGAGGGTTAAAAACAANTTTTACTATTTTTAGGTTGACTGGCCCTTAATAAAGCATGATGGAGGCACTCGCGACACGACACGAAAAACGTAGCCCATTATTGATAGCCAAAGCCTAGTTTGTGCTTATGATGCCTACTGTATCATGGAAAGCATTGGTGGAGGCCTATGTTCAGCAGTGGACGTCCTATGGCTGAGATGATGATGATGACTGTATAAGTTCCACCTTTAGCCCCAGTTGCACCAAAATGTGACAATAATATTAACCGGTGTTTTGGTATGGAATTTCACAGATCTTTGACGTTATTAAAATTAAATTAAGATTATTAGATAGCTGTGAGTTATTTGCCTCTTCTACTTGCCTACAGCTTCAAGGCTTATGTCTACCAGTCTTTATTTTTACTCTCGTTCTAAGAAATCAGTTCGTATTAAAATTAATTAATTAAATTAGGTATGTATGTGCGAACCCGCAGTATAATTAAATTAGCATGCCTTTCTATTGTTCTTACTTCTACTGAGATGTAGGTTTTCATGCCAGCTGGCGAAATAATCTTAGTTTGCCTTGGTTGCTAATGTTGATAATGCTTTTTGCATTGCACCCTTTTGTTCTTAGGGTCAACTGTACATTCTTGCATCGAAATAGAACACTGTGTAGTAAATTATCTATAACACAGCTAGTTCCTAATCCATTGTACAAGTTTAAACTGACTAATTATACAAATACAAACACGTAGCTAGTTGGAAATGTAGAACACTTCCTACACCACTTACACCGTGTAGAACACAAACCAAGTTACGTGATGTAATGTAATGATGAAGTCTCACTTCCACTTAAGTACTAAAGGCATGATTGAAGTGCTATAGTTTATTATTTAATAATGCTCGTATTATCTTCAAAGTTATTTTCATGTTAAAACATCATACTATGATGAGAATCTCCTCCTTTTGTTGAAGTCGTTAACAATAACTCCGTTTCGCTATGAGTACTTGCTATCTAAACCTTCTAATAGGAAAGTCCTGCAATATTCCAAATGGAAAATAAGACCGACTACCTGTCATTGATACTGGTTGTCTATGGCGCCGTTTCTGAACTGAGATTTTTAGCTTGAGCTATGTCCCTTTCGTATGACTATCCATCAAATTATTCGTTTAGCCTCTAATTTTTTTTTTACTTAGCCCAACCAAAGCTAATGCCTAAAATGCTTATAAACTTTGTTTTTCTGTTCTTGACGGTTTTTTTTATCACCAGCCAGTTAGTGTATTCTTAGCTTAAATACATGTACTGATAACGCTTTCAATTGTTTCAGGTTATGTGCGCGTGTCGTTAGATAAAGAAGTGCTGTGATTGGATTGCTTTCATCCAACTGTGGAATGGTTCCGGGGACCTGGCGCTGTCTTGTTCAAGTGAGTCTTATGCAGACATATTTAAAGTTAATTTTGAATTGACTCCCAAGAGCAGTATCTTGACCATCGACAGAACTGAGTGCGACGTCAAAAGAGATGAAAGACTAGACCCCCAAATTTTTTATTTAGATTTAGTGCCTTTTTTCTGTGATGCGGATTTCGGGGAGCGTGCGGATATGGTCTGCGATAAAATCACGCTGCTGGTTGCACGCAGGACAAAGATTTCATATTGTGTACCCGCAGCCAATCCGCGTTCCGCATGCGTGTAGCCCGCGTAAATTAATAAAATGTAGTCCTGGACAATAATGAAGTGTGGTAAGTCCTCCATGCGGACCAGACCCAGTGCTGAAATCCGCATCACAGAAAAATGGCACTAAATAACTACAAACAAAGTTACTTTTTAACTAGAGTATAGATTAATGATAATTAATAGTTCCGTGTTTAGCAGATGTTTATTGCTCTACAAAACTTATCATTAGTCCAGTCAATGAATGCCTTAACGNCCCCCACGATTTTGGGGTTACCTACCGATTCCAAGATTGAACAATGACATAGACCGCAGACTTGCTATGCAGATGCGCCAGTGAGTACTAATCTGTGCGACATGTGTCACCCTCTGATGCTGGGCACCCGGGGCGCTCCCCCCCCCCCCTACGCCGCTACTGCATCTTTGAGCTGTCAGTTAACCAGAGATTTTGGTCCTCTTTTCTAGTCGTCCCTTGTTCAAGATCTATCCACTTACTTATTAGATCAATCCAAGGGGTTCGCGTATAGGATTAGTTGCAAGTAACCGACTCAGTCTTCCCTTTACCTGACTGGTTGGGGGTGGACCAGAGCCGATAGCAAGATGGAGCCTACATGGACCGGTTTGCCCGTAGCTGCCGAGGCTTGCCTGGAAATGGTGAGATGTAAGTGCAAGAAGTAGTGCAGAAGCTGGTGCTGTCTGAAAAAAAAACAACTAAAAAGGTCACAGCCTTTAACCTTTGTGCTAAAATTATCTCCCGTACTATGATTGTGAAACCTCATTTTCCTCATACTTACCTTTCCGTAAAATCACTGGTACAATAGTGTGTAGAAATAAAAGTGTTAATTAAAATAATAATAATCATTAAGACGTTTAGACAAATTAAAGTTCTTCTTAAGCTTTCTTCTTATAATATTTTCAATATTGAAATGTATTTAAGCTATTTTCAACCTTATGTCTCACACATACAGCTCAAAATCAATTGACGAAAAAATACAAATTATGGTAGATTGATGTGCCAGCAACTCTAAATAAATTCTAAAATAATTATCCTTGCTTGCTTATGAACCAAATAGTATGAATTCATGGATATAATAATTTTTTTTTCCAATGCGCAATAAAATTCGTCCGCTGTGTCCTGAAGAAAAAATTTTTTTCACCTACTTTTTGCGAAAAAAGTACCATACAATGTTATATTTTTATAATCCTGATAAATGTAGCTTTCAGGTCATATTTTTTTTATTAGATTATCTCCAGTTAGTATAAGATCCCGCTATACAGCGACCTTCACCGAGATGCTTATTTGATGAAACATATTTTATATTCAATTTAACATGTCAATAATTATATTGCTTAAGGGTTGCCTAATAAATTTCAGTCCAGGATATGATTAATTAATCATTAAAAATAGATTTTTTTTTAAATATTTCATCGGTTTGACTATAGGTGTACCAGAATCTCATGGCAAATAGGGAAAATAAACTTTGTTGAGAGCAATACTGGGGAAATTGGAATAAAAGATCTTGATACTGTTTAATTTTTTACTTTTATGACTTTAATATTAATGAACATGAAGTACGAATATACATTTTAGGTAGGTATGTGTATGAAGAATGTTGTTATACATCGAGTTTTTAACATAGGAAAATGTCTTGAAAAATAAATAAATCGTATATTACTTTAAGTAACTAATTTTATTATGCATCATACTTTTAACTTATCACTTCATTCAGAACTAGAAAACGATTCTAAGAACTCCTCCACTTGCATTCTAGCTGAAAAATTAAAAACTGCTAGATTAAAAAAAATGGATCTGTCAACAGCACTGGATCAGGGGTGATTTACTGTTTGTACTCCGAATGACTGTCGTGAATACAACGATCAAAATGGCGTGAATAGTTATGCGCAACTTTAGGGCCCTGTAACTTATTTATTTGTAGAGATATTTTCATGATTCTTTCACAATTATTTATTAGTTTTACTTATATTTATTTTTAAAAGAAAAAAATTGGAAACTATTCCATTATTCAATTTTGCTTGATGAAATCTTTTTCAATTTTTTTTTTACATGGTCATAACATTTTTGACCATTCCTCTGCACCAACTTGTGAGATATACCTGAAAACCCCGATAAAGCAGCTATTAGGTAAGAATAATATAAAAAAAAACATAACCCTCCTTCTGATGCAGTTGGGTAATAAACTAAATGTATCAAAACATTTCAGTCCAACTTACTGTCAACTCGACGACGCGCTTTAGAATCAAAGATTGACTTTGAATTATGCCTTATTTTACAATTCATATTGAAAACAATATGACTTGCTTGAGCTTTTTCGACTTTTTCACAAAAATAACAAATAGGTAAGAAGAGATTACAAAATTTTTGCAGCGACTGACAGATTTCATAATTTTCTTTGACAGGTGACAATTAAACCATAGACAATTGCCATATGAAAAACACACACACCAATATTTTTGTTTGCCATGAGATTCTGGTAGACCTATATTAAACAAACTCCATACCAATCGAAAGTATGAAGCCCATAGAATATGCAAACGGTAGGTTGCCTATTCTTTTCCAGTCATAACTCTCGGGTTGCCAGGTATAAACAGGTAAATTGATAGATCATTTTGCACCGGTCTGATAATTTAATCAAATTTAAATGAAAATAAAGATTATTTCATTATGAACACGGTGGTATAGGGTTGCCTGCGAAAAATCAGTCCTGAATGACGGTTGTCGAATTTTGTAAAGTGAAATTAAAACTGAAAGGTGACATTTTTCGAGTAGTTGGCAACATTTGGGAAAGACGAGTTGTATAAGGCATTTGTGTGTCTTGTCAAGAGGTATCGCTTGGGTGAAGAAATTTCTCCAGTGTTGCCATGCCTTGGGAGATTTGGTCCAAAAATGTCGAAAGTGGAAATAACGACTTCCGGTCAAAAATTTGGATGACGCCTCCTGCAAAAAAGTCGTGCAAATGATATTTGACCATTTTCATCTCGATCACCTGGCAACACTGGCAGCTACGGGGAAAAGTATTTTTTTTCGACATGGGTGTCTTTAAAGTTAAGGACGGACAGAAGGAGATATGGCAGAAAACATCAAAAATGGGCTTTGGTCGGTTAAACGACCCAGATTATGGGAAAAATCCGAAAATTCAGAAAATCAAGATGGCGACCGAGCGAGCGGTCATTTTGTAAAAAGATTCAGATTTCTGATTTTTCAAATGCATTTTTTGGGGAGTTGGCAACATTTGGGAAAGTCGAGTTGCATAGAGCGATTACGTAGTTTGCTAAGGAGTATCGTTTGGAAAAACAACATTTTCCAGTGTTGCCATACTTTGAAAGATTTGGTCAAAACATGTAAAAAATGGAAATAACGACTTTTGGTCCAAAATTTGGATGACGCCTCTTGCAAATAGGTCAAACTAATGACATTTGACTATTTTTATCTTGATTACCTGGCAACACTGGCAGTTACGGGGCCACAAAATTTTGGGANGCAGGATAACTTACGTCAAAGGAATAAATCTTCAAAGTGAATGCTGTAAGGAGAAACGGAAAGTGTTTTCCTTGTCTTCTTGAAATCTGGGAACATAATCGAATTTATATTGTCAGTTTTTCTGTTTTTGAAGTTGGATACGTAAATTGTTGGTTACTTAACAAGCCCATGCCTGGCTTTTAATTTAATTCAGAAAAACTATCATCGATGATATCCAGTTTGTTATTATTGTGTGTAATACATATTAGCAATACGATGCTAAATCCCCTGCATGACCTTGTCAAATATCCATATTTCCCCCTCGATTTATTTCAAACGTTGACACGCAAATGACATCATTACAATTGGTATGCATTAGTCATTTCAATCGATATCAGTCGTTATTATTATTAAAATTTACACATTCTCCATAAACGTTGTATGCAAGGAATATTTTCCTTGTACGTACAAATATTCTGTCGTGGAAGCCTCATCACAACGTTTCAGTCGTTTGTAGCTATCATAATCTAATTTGACTGCTAATACTATTAAAACGAATATTTTAATATAACCACAGTCTCACTTGCTGATTAGTAGGTATGAATACTGGTTTGACCATCATCAGAGGATTGAGGTTGGACATAAGAAATCTTTTTCTTTTATAGTGTGGTGTAAACAACTGAGATCACAACACAACCTGGTGATCCATCTGTTGTCAAAATATAAAATAAGAGTTACAGAGAGACAAAAAAATCCCAATTCGTCAAATTGCTAGATAAGCATTTAGCGTTTTACATAGAAGCAGCCATAGCTCTTAATACGATTAAAAAGTTAGTCTAATTGTTATTTTATTTTCTCCTCTACCACCTGTGGGTTGAGCTAAACTTAACAATATCAGTCTTCCAATTAATTTGCAATTAAATTACTAAGTTTCGTACGAAAGATCGACTAAGGTTCCACCAAAGGCAATAACCAAATTGAACAATCCACGGACCTGATTTCTTGTATTCAAACAATAATACTTACAAGTTCATGCATTCAAAGTGTCGGTGCTATCCGATAAACCAATTAGTATTCAGGCAACACCAACGACAGTTGTCCCAGCGTGTTGGTGGAACGCTTAAGCCCGCTTACAACTGGATTGTAGTGGGTCGTTGCGCTAATGTTTGTCATTGAATGCCAATGTGACTGGCGGAACGAAGTTATTGTCTATTAACTATTTGGAATTGAACTGGAATGAATGTGTTCATTTGGTCTAACAGCTAAACAAAATTA